CCCCCCCCCCCCCGCCTCCTGGGCCGGCTGCCCCCGCCGACGAGTCCAGGGTGCGGACCCGGACTGGAGCGCAGGCTGCACGTCTGGCCGCGCGCGGGCCGGCCTCCCATCCACACCTCCGGCGTCTCCCTTTAGCTTATTGTAGATAAAAAGCTGTGTTCCCTGTCTGACCCGGGGCTTGAACTCACGGCGTCTCACAGACCTTTTCCCCAGTTGCTTGTGAACTCTCGTCATCCGAGCTCAGACTCCAGAGTAGTTACGATTACAGGTGTGAACCATTAGCGCACGCACACAGGAAAAAAAAAACCTACACATACTCACACCTCTAAACAGTGTTTCAAATGTAGTCTTCTGCGCTTCAGTTTGGTGTGAATAGAAGTAGAATGCTATTTGGTTTTAACCTGAGGGCTTAATGTCTGAAGCCCTCGACTTCATTTTACATAAACCAAGAGTGTGTATTTTCATTGGAGGCAAGTGTTTTCTCCTGATTCAAAGAATGACATGAGAGTATGTTCTACCAAAAGAAAACTATACATGTACATTGTGTGAAGAACATTGTGATATTCGTGTTCTGGGGGTTTTCAAATGAATAAAAAGTATTACTTTCCTAGTTGTGAATATTTGTGAGGAGAAAAAAATCCTACTCTTAGAAGTCAAATAGAGTTCTGATCATCGTAAAGTGGTTCAGATAAAATGAGAATCTCACTGGGGTCTGAATATCTCTGGGGTCTGAGGATCTCTGTATCTTTTTCTTGCTCCAATGAAATGATCCCAGTGGACCAGAGAAAAAGCAACTGCTGATGCTGAGTTCACTGAAGCTTACGTCCTTCGTTTTGAGACTGTCTGAAACAGAATGCAGAACCCTGATTGGGCTCCAATAATTACCATTTCCACATGATTTTGACTATGGAAGCAGGTAGCCTAAATCCAGAGACCTCTTGCTGGTTGTGTTACTAGCTTATCCAATTGAGTAAGTCACTTAACCTACTTGTTCCTTACTGTCCTCATCTACAAAGTAGATTGCGTTTGTCCCATAGTTTTGTAATGAGTATAAAATATTTAAGATTAGGAGTGGTGGTGCATTCTTATAACTCTGGCACTCTAGAGACAGAAACGAGGATCAAAAATTTGGGACTAAGCAAGACCCCACTCACAAAAACAAACAAAAGTTTACACAACACTAACACATAAAATTCCTGGAGGTAGCAAGACATGATTTAAGTGTTATTAATGATGCTGACGCTGATAATTTTTATGTTTTCTATTTACTGATTTTGAAGAGGGGTGAGATTTCATGTTTGTATATAAGGAGTGAATTCTCCACAAGTTTAGGGACAATGAGTCACTACCTTTAAACAATGCTTTCATTCAGCCTACTAGAACTAATAGGTAACAGTGGATTATGTAGTCCACTAGTGTCCTCTACTGGAAACTATGGGTATTGCAGAGCTCTTCAAAAAAAGTGGCGGGGGGGAGAGAGAAGACAAAAAGAAATAGAAGAGTTAGGTTTAGGGATGTCGCTTAGGTGGTAGAGCTACAGCCCAGCAAGGGAAGGCCCTGAATTCAAATCCCTGTTCCAGGGAAGGGGGGAAAGGTCGGTTTTATTAACAAAATGATAGATAAAGAAGGGTATATAGATTTAAGAGATTCATCTCTGACACTATAAAGAAAGATTTTTACTTTTATAACTTTGGGTTGTATTATAGAAGTAATAACTGTTGAAAAGAAAAACACATAAATATACACCTAAGGAAAAAAATGGTGTAAATATTTTACTCTCCTGTACAGAGGAATTTGCAGTAGTAGTAGTAGTAGTAGTAGTAGTAATCTATCCTTTTCTGGGACTTGACTATGTTCCAGTGTTTCCTGTTATTCTTATGAAGTGTGTGTTATCTCCACAAAGACAAAAAGACCTGGATACATAGAAGTAAAGTAACTTTTGAAAGACTACAGTCACTCGGGGACAAAGTGAGACTGTCACTGAGGCAGTGTGACATCCGTACCCTGCCACTAACCACCATATCCAATCAAAAGAGTTCAGGAGATATTTCCTTCAAATCCTCTTTCTTCCCTTCCCTTTCCCTTTGTAAACATTGAAGCTGCTCTCAGCTCTCTCTCCTGGACTAGGAAATCATCCTCTTGCAAATATGGAGGGGTGCTGGTGGAGCCAGGGCCTGGGGCAGAGCTTCTGAGGCCACAGATCAGTCCTTCTGCTGAGTGCAGAAGAGCTGAGACTCCTCTGGATGTGCAAATAGACCTCAAAGCAGTAAGTAATCAAGCATGCCGTGTGTACGTTCACAGCAAGGTGGGAGAGGCTGTAGTCACTTGATCTTCCACCCCCACTTTACCCACTCCCTCCCATGCCCTGGACCCATAACCCCCACATCTCAGAGCCTTTCCCGATCCTTCCCACTTATTTTCAACTTGTCCCCAAGACCCTGTACATCCTTTTCCCTCTTCAAAACTTTCTCATGTAAGTTAGGGGCTGGTGGCTCACTTGTAATCCTAACTACTGAAGAAGCTACGATCCAGAGGATCTCAGTTCAAAGCCAGCCGGACCAAAAGGCCCACAACACTCCATTTCCAGTTAATCAGCACAAAGCTGGACTGGAGGCATGGCTCACATTTGCTCAGCTATGAGCAAAAAGCTGAGAGCATGAGGTCCTGAGTTGAAGCCTCAGGACCTAACACACACACACACACACACACACAATCTATTACAATATCTTAATGACCCATTAATGACCCATTAATTTTTATTAATTCTTTTCACCACTCCTATTGGACTGTCAGTGCCAAGATAGCACACATCACTGGTCAGTGCCTGGCAGATCATGTGACTTTATTAAACAATGCAAGGCCCGTGTGACTCGGTGTGAGTAACCCAGGGTCCCCCGTGCACCTCCTTTGTGAATGTCTCATTGTTAATTGTCATCCTCATTTCACCTCAGCATCGCACATCACAGTGCTGTGTGTCTCGCTGTCAGTCCTCAGGTTCAGAGGGTCTGGGAAGTGGCTAGCGCTGATTTTTCTTCCCTTCTTCCATGCTCAGCTGCCATGTTTCTTTTGATTGGATGAGCCCCTCCTGTTATTCCAAGCTTGGTTGTCTCTGTTGCTCACTGTCATTTCTTCCCTGCTGAGGCTGTAGATCGTGATATTGCTCACTGGACACAGTGCTGAGGACTGACCCTGTGCTCAGGAAGTGGTTTCAGTAGCTGTGAAGAGAGGACTTTTGTTCCCTCTGGTCACCTGTGCCACCTCTGGGAATGGTGCATGTCTTGCCAGCTTCACAAACACATCCACCGTGGATTCCAGTTTAACTACAGCCCCCTCGCTGCATTCACTTGTGCAGTCCCTGTGGTTTGCTAGTGGGTGTCCCCTGCCAATCGCGTTTACCCTTGTGAGGGTCATCACTGCAGTCACCGTCATTGTCAGCCTTCGTTGCCCTCGTCAGCACACCGGCTCTTCACACCAGTTTCTTGCTGTATGGGCAGGCTTTGCACAGAGGCATTGAGCCCCTGGGGTAGAGACCATTGTCAAGGGATCGTAGCTTCGTGGCTCAGCAGTACACAGCACCCGACATTGGAAACGCTCCTATTTGCAAACCTAAGGCAAATCCCTGTGCAAGTTCTAGAAGGTTCCTCTGAGGAGGTAGGACTTTAGTCCTGAAGTGCTGTATCAGCAGAGGAGAAAGGAAGCCTTTGTAGATGAAGTAGGTGTAGACACAGATATAAGAATTGCAGAAAGTATCTTATGTATTAACTAACAACCCATTTCATAATATAGTCTGTGTGTGTGTGTGTGTGTGTGTGTGTGTGTGTGTGTGTGTGTGTGTGTAAGAGAGAGAGAAAGAGAGAGAGAGAGAGAGAGAGAGTCATGGGGCTTGAACTCAGGGCCTGGGCACTGTCCCTTGAGCTCTTTAGCACTCTACCACTTTGAGCTACAGCTCCACTTCCAGTTTTCAAGTAATTAATTGGAGATAAGAGTCTCAGAGACTTTCCTGCCCTAGGCTGGCTTTGAACCACAATCCTCAGATCTCAGCCTCCTGAATAGCTAGAA